ATTGAACTATTTGAAGAACAGAACAAACACATATCGGTCAATGTTTATTACATAAACCCCGATACGAATAGTAAAACTATTTTATTATACAAAAGAAGCAACAACCCACAAGCACAACACAAAATCGATTTGATTAAATTGACTGATGATGTTAAATCCCATTACGCTTATATCAAAAATTATGATAAGTTAATGAGTAGTCAGACTAACAAGATGAAGGCGAAGAAGTATCACTGTAGAACCTGCTCACATGGTTTCAAGACCGAAGAACTTTTAAAGAAACACGAAGAACAAGGATGTCTAGCAGTTGAGGGTCAAAAAATAGAAATGCCAGAAGCAGGTGAAACAATAGTATTCAAAAACCATTTCAAGAAACTTAAAGCTCCATTCGTAATCTATGCCGACTTTGAATGTTTAACTGTGCCAATTGATGTTAAAAGCAAATCGGCAAAAGCTAAAACTACATCATATCAAAATCATCGTCCGTGTGGTTTTATGATTAATGTAGTCAATGCTATAACCGGAAGTAGTGAGCCTTACTTATATAGAGGTCAGGATTGTATGGATAAATTTGTTGAGAAAATCAATAAAGTCAGAGAGGAAGTTTTGGAGAAAATGAAGGAGGACAAAGACCGTATTGAAACCGAGAAGGACTGGGAGGACTTCAATAATGCCACTAACTGCTTCATTTGTGGAAACAAATTTGAGGAAGGAGAAAAGAAGTGTTGGGACCATTGCCACTTTACGGGGCAGTATAGAGGATGCGCCCACGAGGACTGCAATCTACGATTTAGTATGAGATATTATAAAATCCCTGTGTTTCTTCATAATCTTAAAAACTACGATGCCCACTTAATCATCAACAAGGCTCACGAACTGAACAAGAATTCTAAAATAGAATGTATCGCTCAGAACAGCGAAAAGTTTATAACCTTTGGTTTTAAAAATCTTTGTTTCAAGGACAGTTTCAGTTTCTTATCGTCTTCGTTGGATAAGTTGGTCAGGTTGAGTAAATACGAGGATGATAAAAAGCGTGAGAATTGGAAGAACAATTTCAGATACAGCGTTAGAAACCCGTATGTTAAAACCGATGAAGATTTGGATTTATTGACTGATAAGGGTATTTATCCCTATGACTACTTTGATGATTTTGAAAGATTTAAGGAAAGGGCTTTACCACCGAAAGAAGCGTTTTACAGTAAATTGAGTGAAGAACATGTAAGCGATAAAGATTATGAAAGGGCACTGAAAGTATGGAAGCACTTCGGGATTAGAACACTCGGGCAGTATCACGACTTGTATTTAAGAACTGATGTTTTACTACTGACCGATGTATTTGAAAACTTTAGAGACTTGTGTATGGAATACTACGGTTTAGACCCCGCTCATTATTACACATTGCCAAATTTCGCATGGGACGCGATGCTTCTAAAAACTGGCGTTGAAATAGAACAATTGCATGACCAAGAAATGTTTGAGATGGTTGAAAAGGGAATGAGAGGTGGTATGTGTCAAGTCAGTCATAAATTAGCAGTGGCAAATAATAAGTATATGGAGGAAGCATATGATGAGAACAAGCCATCAAATTATATTAGTTACTTGGATGCTAATAACTTGTATGGTTTAGCAATGTCCCAGAAGTTGCCGCTAAAAAATATCAAGTGGACAAAGAAAACTCCCATTGTTGAAAAATGGAATGAAAACGATGAGTTCGGTTATATTATGGAAGTTGATTTGGAATATCCCGAAACATTGCACGACTTCCACTCTGACTATCCACTAGCGCCTGAAATAATGAATGTAAATGTTAGTATGCTTTCCGATTATCAAAAGCAAGTCTACAAAATATATTATGATGGTAAAAGTCCCAAGGACGAGAAAACAAGTAAGTTAATATTAAATCTAAAGGATAAAGAAAAATATGTGGTTCATATTAAGACTTTACAGTATTATTTGAAAATGGGATTGAAAATGACCAAAGTCCATAGGATAATAAAATTTCAACAGAGGGCATGGTTGAAACCGTGGATTGACTTCAACACTGGTAAAAGGAAAGAAGCCAAAAGCGATTTTGAGAAAGATTTATTCAAATTAATGAACAATTCTGTGTATGGAAAAACTATGGAAGACAAACGAAATCATATGGACTTTGAATTAGTTGATAATGAGGTAAGATATGAAAAATGTGTTAATAATCCAACATTCAAAAATAGATTTATTATTAATGAAAACCTTGTAGGAGTTGAAAAAACTAAAGCGAAACTGAAACTGGACAAACCGATTTTCTTAGGAATGACAATCCTTGACATCAGTAAATTACATATGTATCAGTTCTACTATGATGTTCTTAAGAAGAAATACAATGAAAACATCAAACTGGTTTATACTGATACTGACAGTTATGTAATTCAAACATTCACTGAGGACATCTACAAGGACTTCAAAGAATTAAACCAATATATGGACTTTAGCGATTATCCACCTGAACACCCCTGCCATGACAAAACAAATAAGAAAAAACTCGGTTATTTCAAGGATGAGTGCAACGGTCAAACAATAACACAATTCATAGGGTTAAAGCCCAAATCGTATGCTTTTACAATACACGGTGAAGAAGAAGAACAAAAGAAATCAAAAGGTGTAGTGAAACACAAGGTGAAGAAAGAACTGACTTACCAAAACTACCACGAAGCATTATTTCAAAACAAAAAGCATGAAATAACATATAATTTTATTCGTAGTCGCAACCATCAATTATTTTCAATGTCTCAAGTCAAGCAATCACTCAGTAATTATGAAAATAAAAGGTTTTACATTGATGCTTTCAATTCACTGCCTTATGGACATTATAAACTGCGTTAAAGAAAAGATACATTAGGTTATTAATGGATAGCAGTAAATATAGAAATGCAAAGATTTACAAAATAACTGATATAGGTTATAATAAGTGCTACATCGGAAGCACCTGTGAAAGCTTGAGCCGAAGAATGGCAAGACATAGACAAAATTATAACAAGGCAGAACAATGGAATAATAAAACAAACTGTCGTTTGTTGTTTGATGAATATGGAATGGACAACTGTAAGATTGAATTATTAGAAGACTACCCATGTGAAAACAGAGAACAGTTATTGAAAAGAGAAGGTTATTACATTCAAAATAATGATTGTGTGAATAGATGTTTGGCAGGTAGAACAATTAATGAGTGGAAGGAAGACAATAAGGAACACTATCAAAATATGAGGAAGGAATACTCGGAAAAGAACAAGGAACATATATGTGATAAAAGTAGGGAACATTACCATCAAAACAAAGAAACAATCCTTGAAAAAAGAAAAGAAACTATTGAATGTGAATGTGGTGGTGTTTTTAGGAAATGTGATATAAGAAGGCACGAGCGAAGCGACAAACATCAACGATATGTATGTGAAAATATTAATATCTAAATATCTCTAATAAGAATGAAATTATTAGAGATGTTTAGCGGGACAGGCTCGGTTGGTCCAGTTGCTCGGGATTTGGGTTTTAGTGTTATTTCCCTTGATTTGAAAAATGCAAATATCAATACTGATATTTTGAGTTGGGATTATCGTGAGTTTGATGTGGGCGAGTTTGATGTTGTGTGGGCATCTCCTCCATGCACTGAATACAGTCGTGCTAAAACTACTGGTGTCCGTAAGATTGATTATGCAAATAGTATCGTTTTAAAAACCCTTGAAATTATAGATTATTTTAAGCCTAAATGCTGGATAATAGAAAATCCCCAAACAGGACTATTAAAGGAACAACCGTTTATGAGTGGGTTGAAATACTATGATGTGGATTAATGTAAATATGGCATGAACTACAGGAAGCGAACGAGGTTGTGGTCAAACATTGAAACATGGAAACCCAGACCATTATGCAAAAGGGATTGTGGGAAAATTAGGAATGGGAAACATTTTGAAACTGCCATCGGGTAAAAAATCAGATTGGGGTGAGGGATACATCAAACATAAACAAGATGAGTTGTATAAAATTCCTACTGATTTGATTAGTGATATACTTGTTAAAACCTATCCGCCCGATACCTTGTAGTCGTCGAGGGAGGTGCCTTCTGACAAACAGGACTCACACGTTGGGTTGGGGTTGTTGTTGTGGTGGGAAACAGTGTCAATTGCTGAACACCGCAATTGGAATTGCATAACACCGCAATTGGAATTGCATAACACCGCAATTAGAATTGCATAACATCGCAATTAGAACCCCGAAATGGTCAATTTAGATGGGGTTTCCAAATTGCGCAATTAACACAAAAGGCTCTGACAATTAGAGTATTGCAATTGGAGGAATGAGATGAAGCAATTTACACCCCGAGACGTGTGTAATTCAAAACTAAACCATAATTATAACCTTTATATTCTTATATGTTATAATTATAGCGAACTTTTAACCTATAAAACATAGCTAGACAATCACATAAAAATCACATAACAAGAAGTTGTTAAGATATATTAAGAATGGTTGTGAAGCAAACTATAATGAATAATTATAGAATGATAGAAGAAAAAGCAAAAGAAGACTATGGTATTTGGAAATGTAAAAAGTGGAAGAAGACATAAATATTGTCAAGAGTGTAGAACGAAAATACATAATTGTAGAGATAAACGTCAAAGAAAACAAACGACCCACCAACACCCCAGAACTTGATAACTACTAAAAGGGCTACCTCTTTCAAATGAAAAAAATGTTTGCCCCCAGCCCAACAATGAACAAGGCGACAATTTACCCAAATGATTACCTTAACGAAAACGATAAATAAGCTCCCTAAAAACCCTCTTTTAAAAACGAATAAGGGGGAACATAGATTTGAGATGAACATAAAAACCATAACAGGCAACCATCAACAGACCACCCCCCAGGCCCCCTACTTTCTCCATTTTTCCTCCAACCCCCCCCCCTCCCTCCAAACCGCCCCGCCCCTCGCCCCCCCCCACTCCCAACCCCCCCCCAATCGGCTCCGCGGAGCCCAGCAAGCCCGGCTCTTCCGCCGCGAAGCAAACGAACATGATGGTCTTCTTGGGCCTCACCTGGCGCATCGAATCAAAAAACGGGGGGGGGTCTCGCTTGAAGCTTGAGAAGGGAAAAGACGTGATGGAATGACATGGAATGGTGCCCAAATGGAAAAAGGCTCGACCTTGACGGGTCCTAAAATTCCGGTGACTCCCTTTTAGCTAGGGCCAGAGAATGCAAGGGCAAACCAGCATAATGACAAGGTACCCCTTGGAAACACCAACCTGTCTGACCGGACTGACAGCGAAATCCTGGACTCACGGCTTCTTCAGGAATGAAAACCACTGCAAGCCTTGCTGGTGCCAAGTCCCAATCGTTCCACTTTGTTTGTGTCGTCTGTTTTCTCTTCATCACAGTTCCTATACGGTAAGATAGGCTATATGCAGGATGGTTGCACCTGCCTTAAGCCGCACAATTCAATAGTGATGTCGGTAAGGCGTGCAACGCCAAGTTTGCTGTCCCTTCGTTGCAAAATATATCCCTCTGTCTATCTCTCTCTCTCTCTCTCTTTGTCTCTCGCTCTCTCTCTTTCTCTCTCGCTCTCTCTCTCTCTCTCTCTCTCTCTCTGTCTCTCTCTCTCTCTCTCTCTCTCTCTCTCTCTCTCTCTCTCTCTCTGCTCTCTCTCTCTCTCTCTCTCTCTCTCTATCCCGCTCTTTCTACAATGGCAGCCTCAAGCCTCTGTTTGCCGTGAGCCGGCTAAGTTGGCTAAGACAGCAAATGCATGGACATACAACCAAAACAACCAACAAATTGGACCGACGGTTGGGAGCTACCAAAGGCTGCCACGCACCCATCAAGGCTCCCCTCACGCTGAGACAATGCAGGATTTCCGCTCCGCTTCGTCTCACTCGACTGTCAACCATTCCTCGACGGTCGAGTCGCCAAAGATTGCAAGTTGCAGGCGCGATTCACTTTAAACAGCCCTGAGTTCAGTGGGCTCGGAGCATGCAGGCAAGACTTGCATCCAAGCTTCATGATCCCCCTTTCGCTGGTTCACTTGCAATCTCCGGGAATCAGCATATACACATGGCGCGCTGAGATGAAAGCGCAGCCCTCCGAGAACTCAGGAGATCTCGCCGCCCTCCTCCTTGGCTCGGGCAAAGGGCACTTTCCTTCAGCCATGGCCCCACGTCTCTCACGGCAAAGGTCGAAGGCAGCTGTGGGAAATGTCGGGCCGGGCCGCTGCTGACTCTTGGCGGTTGGCTTCCCCAGGCGACAAATCCGATCTGTCACAAGCTGTTCGGAGAGAAACACCGAGGATATGAGGACAATACATAGATTGCGAAGTAGGCACGAAGGAGAGAATCAGAGAGGCCACAGGACGTGGAGCTCAATTTAATTTGGGTGTTTAACTATTTTGCATTCATTCAATTGTGGCATTTGTGTGCGTGTGTTCGTTGTGTCTGGTTACTTGGAATGATCCTAGTTGTTGCGCTCTGGGTGTATTTATGTGTGTGTGCTGCATGGCTTTTAGTTCATCCTTCTTTGTCGATTTGTATTCATGTGTTCTACCATGATCTCCTTTGTTTGATATCGTTTTTACTGTGTTATGTCGCTGAATATATCTGTCGGTGGTTCGGTCTGCATCTAGGGATTTCTTTGTTTTGCTCTTTTGTTCGGTACATGTTATCTTTATTTCTTTCTTTATTTCGTTCTTTCTTTCTTTATTTATTTCTTTCTTTCTTTCTGTCTTTGTTTCTTTCTTTCTTTCTTTATGTCTTTGTTTCTTTCTTTCTTTCTTTATGTCTTTGTTTCTTTCTTTCTTTCTTTCTGTCTTTCTTTCTTTCTTTCTTCCTTTCTTTGCGGATCTGTCAGATTACGTTGGGCTGCTCGCCATACAATTCGGACGTCCTACTGTAGCCATGCTGCACTTGGACCCAAATCCGCGGACCCGCTCCTGCTTAAAACACACATTGACCAGGTCAAAGTATGCGTTCAAAGGACAAATTTGAGCATTCGTGAGTCCCCGTGATGAGTCTATCTATGTCTCTCCCAACTGGACCATACACCACAGCTAATTTGACCGAACCTCAAAGTGATGCACAAAGACACAGATCAATACTTTCGGTATCTTCCCCTCCCGCTTACTTCCTGCTGGCTTCCACGGTGAATGAACCAAATGCCCGCTGTAGGCGTGTGCGTGTGCATTATGTGTGTTACACACAACCATCGATTCTCTAATGGTCTCCAAAACAGTTGCCGGATGCATCTAATCTGCCCGCACGTCTTTGGCCCCCCAGTCTCGCGGCTGTGCCCTGGCCACCGACAGTACGCACCCGCCCGCAATGGGACAAGGAGCGGCGTCGCTGAGGATGCCAGCGTCCCGGGCTTCCTTGGCGAGCTTTGCAGGCAAAGCTCCGCCGCCTGAGGTCGGCGAGAGGTCATGAAACATGAACCTCCCTCAAAGCAAATTCGGGGATTTCTGGACAAATGCACCCTGAAAGCAAATTCTGGGAGGCGTCTCTGGACAGATTTTCTGAGCCAATCGCCGGGAGATCCCCTGCCTTCTCGGGCTTCCTCCACCTTGACCACCAACTCGGCAAGCTTGATGAAGGAAGGGAAGCCAGGCGATTCCTGAACTTTGGAGTGGGCGTTTGCGGAAGGTTTCGGAAGGTTGCGGAAGGTTGCGGAAGGTTGCGGAAGGTTGCGGAAGGTTGCGGAATGTTGCGGAAGGTTGCGGAAAGTTGCGGAAAGTTGGGTTCCCAAGTGATGAATGAAGCCTGCTCCTGAAGCAGCCTGGTCAATCCCAATGACTGCGCAAAGAGAACGCGAATGCAACATTCGGAGAAAACAAAACAACTGCAACGTGATAACGCATCAGCTGGCACCAGCTGGTAAGAGCACTAAAAAAACAGTGAACGGCACAACAGGAGCGAATCGCCCCAGGGCAGCGAGCAAATTATCCAACACCGAATCAAGCTGGGAGACAAATCCAATTGGAAAGAAGGAGAACAAAGGAATACACAAAAGAGGTGATCAAGGAATACTGGTTTGTACACAAACAACTTGCATGAATGCCAGGAGGGCGAGGCAAAAAGAGAACCAGCATCCACGACAACCATGGAACCCAAAGAACCCTACAGTGGAACATGCAAAAAGAAAGGAGAGCAACACATCTCTCTCCACGTGATTTGTACAGACCCGGAGCCTTGTTTGAAGCTTCCTTTCAGGCTTCCAATCTCTTCGACTCCGTCCAAGGCGCCACCACCTTGAGGCTCTTCACCTCAGAGAGGGGCACCTCCGCGTAGACGAAGGGGTCGATGTCCGAGACGTTGTCCCCGTGCCTCGAGTGGGAATCGACACGAAAATCCCCGTGGAGCCGTGGGCGAGGTGCCAGGGGGAACCAAAGGAAGCGGGGTTTAGTGGCGGTTCCCTACAGGTTCCCGGGCGAAAGCCGCACAGGCACAGGGCACTGGAAATTCCGGGGAGCTCTCGGGAACCCCATGCATCGCTGGGAATGAAGCTGGCCCAATTGTTCACCATGATCAAAGTCATCATAAGTGGTTCAAGCAAGAGCAAAAGTTTCTGACGTTGATCGACCCTTAGACATGCTCAGATAGGGGTGGCCAGCGGGAGCCAGTGTCGTGTCCGAGGGTAGCCTATGGGCTCTGTGAAGGGGAGCCAGTGCCAAAGACGTGGGAGGGCGGCAACAGATTTGGAATCGAGACTCTGCCCTAAGCCCACTCTGCCAACGCACAAAATTTCGCCGCAAGGTCTGGACACAAAACACGGCTCATATCTGTCCACCTCCAGTTGCTCATTTGGGATCTGCGGTCAACTACTCCGCGTTCTTGTGTTCGGTTTGCTAGAGGCATTCTGCATGCTCTGCCGGAATGGGAGGGCGAGCCAATCGACGCGAACCATGTTGAGCCTGATCCAAGACCGGAAAGAAGAAAAACAAAAACAACAAGAAACCACTCTGAAACAGCGCCTGCCGATGGATGCTCTTAGTCATGCGATTGTCGACAGGGCAGCCTGCCAAGGCTTCATATCTTTGAAAACCAGGGTGCATGTCCCAAAGCATCTGCAAAGAGGGGGGAGGGGGGGAACACACACACAAACAGAAACAAAATTGACGAAGTTGCTTCGGTCCAGGCCAGAGAGCAGCCAAATGGAATCATTTGCAATGATATGACTGACCTTGCCAATGTCTGAGCTCGTTTCGCCGCTTATGAATGTTTATTAGTGCTGACCCTCCTTTCAAAAGCATGAAACCTCCAAAAAACAGCCACCTTTGAGATAAATATGTCTTCCAGCAGCCTCATTCAGGTTCTTGCCGAGAAAGTCACCATGCCATGCTCTCCTAATTCCCAGATAACAAAAAAACAACTGTTCTAGGCAGTGGCAGTACATGACAAAAGTCATCTGACTCTGCGTTGCCAGGTGGCTGCACGTGCAAACACACGCCAAACTCGTCTGGCCTGGGGTTCAATGCGCTTCAACGCGAAGGGTATCACTTAAAACAAGCTGAGGGTTGCAAGCCATGCATCCTGCAGCATAGGAGTCACTTTGGGCTCGGAACCAAAGCCTTTGGTTGGCAAGGGGAACCCCTTTGGGGAAGCGTCGCCAAATCCACCAGGTGGCCCCTGAAGTCATGAATCAACTCCAACCTAAGGCTCGCGGGTTTCAGCGTAAACTTCCCTTCTTGAGTCACAATATGGCTCGCAAATCCACAAATGATCTACAAGGATCCAAGTGACTCAAGTGAAACTCTGCTATACTACAGTGGCTCTACTGGTTTTGAAAGATGTGAGAAGCAACCCATCCAAACACACGCGTCACAAAAAAGCATAAAGATTCAGGCACGAAGGCGCACCTCATCCGCATGCGCCTCCAACCATTGGCTCGGGAGAATAACGCGGAAGAAAAAACAAGTGCGGCAAGGCGCATCAAAGCGAGGCTCTTCTGCCCGAGCTTCGCCTCGGGACCAGAAACCCTCGCAAGTCAAAAGAACCTTGGTGTCCTTTGGAATTGAATGGCACCGGGAAGTGACCCAAGAGAAGTGACTTGGGTCACT